TATATATATTATCTATCCAGCAGAACGAGTCAAGAGAAAAGGGGAGAGGTTGGGAGGGGGAGGGGAGGAGGGAGAAAGTGAAAGTGTAAGCAGGAGACTGAACAGGACTAGAGAAGCAGAAAAGAAGAGAAAGAATTACATTTTAGAGATGAAAATGTTTCGTTGTTGTCGGAATTTGAACCTGGGACCTATTGAATGAAAGGCGAGCACCTTATCTGTAGTACACAAGAGCCCCCATCTTACAAATGTATCAATGTGTTCTTATGTCTTTGCCTATTGTGAGTCACGAGTGTCTGCTTCTGCTCTTATGTTGTAGACGTTGATGATCAAAGACCGTAGATTCGTTATTGTAAAAGTTTTAAAACACACATCAATAGTATCAAAATACCAACCCTGACATACTAGAATCAAACATGAGCCCTAAATAATGCACAACAAAGAAAAATCAATGTATGCAAAATGAGGTGTGTTCGCAATACTATCAATGTTATTAGAAGAGACCGTGCTAGGAACGAGACTGTACGCCTATCAACCGGAATACAACCAGTTGTGAATTTCTTTGAACGTCAATCAAAGAATCAATACATTGTAATAGTTCAGTTATCTAACCAGAATGTCCAGAAACTGCCAGCAGCAAGGGCTTATCACACCAGTGAATCCGGTTTCAAACCAAAAGGTCCAGAATAAAATAAAAAACAAAAACAAAAAACCCTGGCTGGATGGGATTAAAAACGTCCAGGAGCAACTTATTAATATCAATCACAGACGCCACACACTTAGCACTTAACAGAAACCTGCACGTCCCCTCGACATCCTAATGATCGCCAAGGAAGGAAAATGTAAAAGTAAGCGAGTTTGAAACATACAAAGTACATTCGTGATGTACTTACCGACAGGGCGAAGGCGACCAGGCAGAGGGCGACAACAAGCAAGAATGTTTTGGAAGCACACATGATGTTGAGGAGAAAGTCAACGACTTGTTCTTCAAATAGAACAAATTATGCTAAGGTTAGAGTAAAGTATATCCCCCGGCCCCTTCCAATCATCCTTCTCCCTCTTGAACTTGTTGATCTAGTGTCCAGTATCAGGGTTCATGGTGGGGGGTTGGGGG